CTTGTTTGTTTGGTTTGTTTAAGGTGTTGATCCTATTATATGGGAACAAGCCAAAGTTGATAATCCTGATCCTGACAAGTAAGTCTAATAGTCTGTAGCAGTATTACAAAAAGACTTGGAAAGAAGAGAAATATATAATATTGTGTAGTAACCTTCAGGTAACTTATTAAGAAACTTATTAGAGAATAACTTTGTCAAGTGCTGATCTCATTTGAAGCAGTGAGGATTACTGGAAATGCCTGTCTAATCCTTTTACCCCTTTAGACGCTTAAGGGTTGTCACGATAAAGAGCCCTAGTTACATTACTTGGAGTTGTGGTGTCCTCCATTATATGAACTAGTTATTGTGACTTTTTTTTTTTTGACAACCATTATGTTTTTTTCTCTTTATTCCCACAGCTAGAGTGATGTACCCTTGTACCCTCCAGTGGCTACAGATAACTTAGGCTGATTTCTTTATGCAAAGGGAACAGATTGTTAGGAATAATGAGGACTGCAGAACTTCGCAAAACAAGATATGTTTATCTGTATAGGTCAAGATCATCTGTAACATCAGATTAGATTATATGCTTGATTATTAACCCATACCATGTGTCTAACATAAAAATGTGTTCTAAGAAGTATTTGTATTCTTGTAGGCTTATTCCTGTGCCAATGGTGGGTTTCAAGGAACTGTTGAGAAGATTGAAAGTCCAAGATCAGATGACCAAACAGCATCAAACTCGATTAGATGTAAGGTTCCTCGTCTTTGTCATGACTGCTTGCTGTTGACAAAGGACGTGCCATTAAATGAGCCTCCCCCGTGCTTCCTGTGTGTTGAAAACTGAAACTGGAACCACGTGCATGGGGCTGGGACTCTGTATCAATGTATTTTAATAATATATTCCTTAATTATATCTTTCGGCCAAACACTGTGCACTGCATTTTGGCTCTTGGTTTTTTTCAGGTTCAAGCCTGCTGTGTTGTTTTAGGCAAATTCAAACCATCTGAATTAAGGTGCACTGCCACAGACTGTAATTTGGGCACCTACTTTTCTGATGCTTTCTGAAAATCCCAGTTGGATATGAAAATAAATAGAAACCAGAACAGTAGAGGTCTATGAAAAGGCTTTCTGAAAGCATCTTTGGCAAGGATGCTAAGTTGCTGGGCTGAGTACTGTTTTGAAACTCCTGGGTTTAGATCAGGTCTAATGTGTTCTGTTATCAGAAACTCTTACAACTTCCAACTGACTCCATCTCCTCTGCAGATAATATCAGAAGATATCAGTGAGCTGCAGAAAAACCAAACAACAACTATGGCAAAAATTGCACAGTACAAAAGGAAACTGATGGCGCTTTCTCACAGAACATTACAGGTAATATGGAGAGTCCAAATAACTCCTTCTGACACAGCCTAGTGCCAGAAGGCAAATGGCGAGAGTGCGGGATGACCTGTGTCATCTTGTGCATGGCCAGTGTTTGAAATGAAATTCTGACTTCATGTAAATGGTATTGACTAACTAACAGGCAGAGCTGTCAGGGAAAGCTGCAGGGGCACAGCATGTCCTGCTGCTTTGGGAACATTCTCTCTGTCTTACTCAGAAGCCGTAGGAGTGCGCTGAGGTCTTGGGGTGGCAGACTAAACAACAGAACAAATCTGATGAGTGACATGCTGGAGGAGGGGCAAAAGATGTGGATGGACTAGTGGGAAAGACATGGGCAAAGGCTTCTCTTATGAAACTCAAAGGTCTGTTTCATAGGTGTTAATAAAGCAGGAGATCCAAAGGAAAAGTGGTTATGCCATCCAAGCAGATGAAGAGCAGCTTCGTGTACAGTTGGATACAATTCAGTGTGAACTTAATGCACCTACACAGTTCAAGGTAAGTAGTTAATACAACTTTGCCAACAACACTTCTTTCCTCACGGAAGAACGTAAGTTTTCCAAACCATGCATATATATTTGTTGTGGGAAGCTTTCAGAAGAGAAGTCCAGTAGTGTTACTAGGTTGTAGCATCATGCTTTTTGCTCTGTGACTGATAGGTATTTAAGTATTTTTGAGTTCTTATAAGTATTGGTGTTGCTTGCCCCTTTGTATGTCTTGTGCAGAAGAAAAATTAAAAACAGAACAAGCAGCAGTGGTTCTTGCCCTGGTGACTTGAGCAGCAGTACATGCTGGAGCTCGGGCAGATGTGAGTGAGTTGGATTTCATTTAAGCCTGTTTCTCTTCCCAGGGCAGACTGAATGAGCTCATGTCCCAAATCAGGATGCAAAACCACTTTGGAGCAGTGCGCGCTGAAGAGCGCTATTACATTGATGCAGACCTCTTAAGGGAAATCAAGCAAGTAAGTATTACTGGATAGAATCCTGGGATGCTCTTTGAAGTATGTATTTAAGCCAGCTATGCACTAATTTGGGAAATATTTCCAGAAAGTCATGTTTTTGTAATTGTTTGAAGTCCTTTTTATTGTTATCGGTGACAGTACATCAAGGTGTTGTACAAAACTGCTCTATTCAGTTAGACTGTTAGTGCGAAAAATGCTGGTTTTCCTTCTTCCAAAGAAATAATGCCAGGCTTCCCAATGTGCCAAGGCCACCAGCCATGGCACCTTTGAGAAATAGTACTTAAAATCTGTGAAGATGAACTATGCTCATGCGGGTTTTCAAACTATCTGCAGCATCTGAAGCAGCAGCAAGAAGGCCTGAGCCACCTAATTAGCATTATAAAGGATGACTTGGAGGACATCAAACTTATAGAACACGGGCTTAACGAGAGCATTCCCATCAGAGGAGGATTCTTCAGTTGACATGGTGGATGCTGCTGGGCTTTCCCAGAACATGTTATGTTCATGGTTCACCTTCCAAGGCTAAAACTGTTGAGGTAAAATAAAATGTGTCTTCGAGGAGCAATGGTATTTTGGCTGTTATCTTTAGATTTAGCAAAGCCTCTTTTCAGCTTTTGAACTTGACCTTTGGAAGGTTTATATTTTATAAAGCTGTGCAAGCTTTAATAAAAGAAGGAAAACTGAAATCTGTTCAGATACTGGTTTACTATAAAACTATATGTACTATTGTACATTTTTCTTTTTTTTTTTCTTTTTTTACAACAGCATTGTCCTAGAAATGCAGTGCTGAGGGAATTGTTACACTTGTGACTTGGTTTGTGGAAAGCTTAGCCCACTTCCATGTTTCTGTCAAAACAATCAAGTAACAACATTATGTAAACAGCTAATTTAAATCATTACAGTTATGTTTGTTGTAATTATGTCGGTCTCGGCAACATCAGTAGCTTACTGGGGCAAGCTGCAGGAAGTTCATGTTTCCAGTGTCTGTCCTTCCTTTGGACTGCAAGGATCTGAAGGTTATGTTTTTATCACTTCGTGTATGTGAATTTGACAAAGCTTTACTGCCCCTCAAATAACAACAGGATGTCTGGATGTTGTCCTCTGCCTTTTTTTAATTGCCAGAGCATAATAAATTCAGTCTGACTTTGTAATAACTCATGCATGCTGTTGGCCCTTCCTCAGCCACCTCAGCAAAGCAGCGCAAGTACAACTCCAGGTTCATGTGCTTCACCCTCCTCAGGCACTGCCGGTAACAGGCATCACACCCAGTGCCACAGAGCTGCCTGGCAGCCTCAGTCCCCGAACTGACGTACAAGGTCATGTCCCTTCCATCCTACCTGGCACCAAGTGCTGCAGTGCAGGTGTCTACTACATGCAGTGGAGAGACAGCTGCTTTTTTTTTTGTTCCCAAAACTGCCTTTTTTCCTCATGACAAACGTCACTGAAAATAACTACAACAAATGTGTGTTATTCTCTGCAGTAGCGGTTTGTACAGCAGAAACAGCTCAAATGCGGTAGAGACAGAATTATTTTGTTCATTAGCCGCAACAGAAAACAACATTTCCATTCATCAGATTTGAAAGGTAGAAAGCAGCCTCTGTGTGCTTGAGCCTGTGTTGTGCATTTGAGAGATTATTTCTAGAAGCATGGTTCCATTAGAGTTGAAAAATGCATACATAAAACTCTAATAAGGGGGAAAAGGATTAGTTGATTTTTGAAGCATTGTTCCAATTAATAAAATATCTCCAATGTGCAGTACAGGCTCTAGTAAGGGCCCTTCTAAGAAATCAAATGAGGCTAGAATTCTCTTTTTTCAAGGGCTAGGGTAACAGTCTAAGTGAAGTCTTCTACCACAGTGCCCCTACCAGGGTGACTGTGCTGCAGGTTTAACGTAAATATGTTGGTTTTCTCTTTGCAAACACTTCAAAACACACCCTTTTGAAGCTGCAATCATACTGTGCTTTGAAAATGTCTAGAAGATGCAGCACAGGCACTCGAGAAGGGCACTACTTCATCTGCTACCCGACCTTTGAATAAGAACTGGCCTCAACAGACTCCTTGTAAGAGCCCACTGCATTTTTTCCAAGTGTCTCTCCACTGCACATATTTATTACTTCAAACTTACAGAACAAACATCCCAGCAAAGGAGCAACAGAGCCGAAGTAGATACTGTCATTTAAACAGCACTGCTGCTAACAGAGTTAGCAAACTAGAGATGGCACAAACAGCCCAGAACCAGCAATCTAGGACAAAAAGTTTATTAAAAAGAAAACTGTGTTCTAGCAGTTGCTACCTTCTTAAAACACTGCCTACAAGAAATACTGTTACTGTCATTTTCCTACACTTGAATAGACCTGTAACGTTTCACCGTACGCATTGACAAGGTCAGTTAAATTCTATCTTCCCTTTGAGCGTAAATTTCTACTTAAAACAGCAGCTTCTTTTAAAAAGTGGTCAGAATTAAAGTGCAGCTTATCTATTTTACCCATTACCTTCCCCAAATGGATCACAGATGTTGGCTATGGCAGTCACTGTTTTCATCCAGCAAGTGCTACAGGTACCTGCCTTCCCTTTCCCTGCTTCACGTCTGCAGGCACACTCTGCGGTCCGGTAGGAAGCAGCCCCCCTAACTTCGCAGACAGTCAAGGCATTGGACATGGCAACCCTCACCAGGTTCTCGCTACTGTGACTGTTTGACAAGGCGGAAGGCTTCTAGGAACTCGTTGAAGTCGATGTTTCCATCCTTATTGAAATCAATGCTGCGAACTAAGTCACTGATGCCGTCATCTGTGAGTTCAATGTTCATGTGGGAGCTGAACAGCTTCCAGGTTTGGTGGAATTCCTCAAATGAGATGAGACCTGTGGAGAAGGAAGGCACAGACAACTCAGTACAGGGTCACCACGGGCATTGTTGTCAGTCAGTCCCTGCTCAGCATGCAGCAGGGACTCTTGCTCAGGTTTCATCTCTAGTCCCACACCGGCTGGCTGCATACCTTAAAGGAAGGAGAGAAATCACTCATAGTCTATGTTTCACATGCTACAACTCAATTTCCCAGTGTGGAGAACAGTGGATGAAGTACAACGTAAAGCAGTAAAGGGACATAAAACAACGTGGCAGAGCAGAAGGTGGCAAAGACTTTTAATTTCTGTTTGCTGAAGTCATTTGGTGGAGACGACTGCTTGAAAACAGGTAGCGCTCAAGATCCTGAGTATGCTGTGTTACTGTCATTGCTGTCACCACAAATTTTGTTCTGCCGAACTCCAGAAAAAATAACAATTCCCTGCATGGACTACATACAGTCCTTCAAAACACACCATGTGTATGCAAACATGCACTGATGTTTCAGAAGCTCTTGAGGGAGGAGAAAGACCCAGGCCGTAAACCGTTAAATAAAAATGCCTTTGTACCTACTAAAGGGAGCCCCGAAGTAGAATGGAATACAGCACAGTGACCACTAACCCCTGCACACCTGCTTACCTGAATGATCTCTGTCTATGATCCTGAATATGGTCTCCAAGTTGGATCTGTTCCGATAAATGACTTCCAGCAAGCTCGTCTGGATGTGCTGAAAGACAGCATGGTCACACTCACTCTGTTCTTCGCACAGCTCTCTGCTTTCCCTGACCAGTTACTGCAGACCTTCCCATAAACAAACATTTACTGCTCTCAAGAGCTTACCAGCAAGGCACTTTGATCCTGTGTGACTTACGAAACAGGTCTGTGATGACTGGACCTTCTGTGCAACTCTGCGTTATAGCACATCAGCAACCTATCACTCCTAAACAACTTTTCCTGGCTAACAGTGAAGACAGTGACTTGGACTGTGTTTTTTAACCATTGCAGAGTTGGTTTTGCTGGATTTAATTAAGAAACTGCTACTCGGAGAATGGAATATCGTTTTCCTACTTGAAAGCCTGCAGCCAACTACCTCTAGGTTTTGATTTCACATGCATCATTTATTTCTACAATGGACTAAATGCCTCTGGACTCCTTGAATTTATGCAAGCTTTTCTACTGACTTCAGTATGATTTTGGACGGTACAGGAACTGTCCCACTGTCCTTTGGTACCATACTTGGTTCCACATGCTGGGGATCTGGTGTGTAGCTTTGCTCGCGCTTTGAAGGAAGGGGGTGAGTCCCTACCTCTTGGCTCCGCTGCTCCATGGCCAAGTCATCAAGCCAGGACTTGTACTCCAGCATGCCGTCATCTGTGCTGCGCACCAGCTGCGGTCTCAGCATTCGCCAGGGCAATCCCAGGCGCAAGACTGACTCCACGGCTGTCGCCCAGTTGCTCAGTGTGATCCTTCCTGTAAGGAAAGGGGATATCCTTTAATTAAGAATTTGTGGCCTACAGCCAACGTCACCCTGCAGATCACGGCCTATACAACAGCACTAATACTTCCCCAGCGACCCAGGAACACCGAAAAGCCTCTATTTTAGCAGCTGCTCTAACAGCTGAACTGGACTTTTGTGAACAACTTTGCTGCCAGGGAAGAAAGCAAGAAAGCAGTTCTACCCACAAGGAGGCAGTTTTGCCAACTGCTGTGTCCCTTTTCTCCCCCGGCCCACAAACGGACAGATCACAGCAACACATCTTGGTCACTACGCCAGCAGAGCACTCCTGTCAGCCAGAGAACTGTGAACTCTCAGCTCCTTCCTTAAGGCTCTGACAGAGGCAGCTGTCAAAAGGACATCCCGCACTTTCCTCTTCCCAATGATTTCGGACTCCAGGGATGAAGGGGCTCTAGTGACCACCCAGCCCTTCCCAAGGAACACGACAGATATGTTCCAGGTTGTCTTTTCCAATGCTTCATCGATACACCTGTTCCCAAGGGTTCTCCTAGTTCCGAGGCTAAATTGCTATGCATCAGGCTAATCACCTCTTGCTTCTCCAACACCCCCTTGTTATAATGCCACTCTGAGGCGTTAACAGGTTCCCAACAGAGGCTGCATACCAGCAAATGGGCCCAATGCTCTGGCAAGGCCTGACACAGCCTACCCCGTGAGAGTCGCTGACAACTATCGGTGAGAGGTTGGGAATCTCCAACTCAGCCACTTCAATCCTGTCCTACCAGAGAATTAACCCAAGTGTCCCTCGGCTCAGATTTACCCGTGTTGTCCTTATCGTAGGCCTTGAATGCGCTGATGAGGGCTGAGGTGTGAGCAAAGAGCTTTTCCCGCAAGGCTCGAAAGGCTGACTCCTCTACTCTGCTGATTCTGGAGGGTGCAGAAAAGAGAAGCACATTAAGGACTTGCCACGAAGTGCAAGAGAAGCTTCACCTTCCCAGTCCTCTGGCCTGTCCAGGGATTGCCCAGCCCCTCACACAACTGCTCTGCACAGCCACAGCTGCATTGAGGTGCTGGTAACAAGGCACTGCACACCTGGAGCACAGTTCCCCGCAGCTGATGCTGTGAATCCCTGCATCAGTCTGTGAAGTAACAAAGCAGAAGAGAACCTCAGCAAGGGTCTAAAGTTAAAACCGGACATTGAAAAGAGAAGCTGGAAAATCAGCCATCTGTAAACGAGAGTCCCCTTCTGGTAACACTCCCTCATCAACCCTTGAGCCTCCCGTGAATTCTCCTCTAGCACTGTTTAGTACATCAAGCTGTGAAAGTTGAGCTCTGCAGTCAAGCTTTCTCAAAGCTCTGAAAGTTTTCCCTTTTGAAATTTTGACTTGGTGAATACCGAGCAAGCAGAATGCCTTGCCTTTGGGTCATGGTGAGAGTATGGGCTGCCTTGTTCGCCTGGTACTGAACAAAATGTGGGACGAGGTCCGGTCCCAGCTTCACATAGGCTCCCCTGTTGCTGCCAATCTCATAGTAGTTTGAGGCTGAAAAGATGGTCAGCACCTAACCCCCAAAAAAGAGAGACATTTACCATCAGTACATATGTCCTCTAAGATACATGTATGTCAGTGAAAACAACACAACCGATCCCATCTGGAGTCAACAGACTGTGAAACACCATGTCTCATGTGGAAAAGGAAAAGCAAGGTGGCGGCTGGCCTTGGAAGCCTTACAGGTGTGAGTTCCTCAAGGGCATTGTGCTGGTTTCACATGGATCTGGCCACACGCCGGGCTCACTGTGTGATTTCACTGTGCTTACCCGACAACTTTCACTCTCCACTGCAGTGAGCAGGGTCAGAAGCACTGCTGTTGAAGTCACTGAAGTGACCTGAATCTTCTGAGAGCAAAACTGCTGCGGCAGCTTACTAACACCCTTTTGTGTGGCATCTTCAAGAGTGGGGGCAACGGCACAAACAGGGTCAGATCTTTTTGCAGCTGCCACGTACAAGGACAGAGTAGGTGGCTCCAGACTGTCCTGGCCTAAGACCTCAGCTGGGAACAGACTTCAGTAACTCCCAATAAGGCTGTTCATCACTTTTGTGTGTATTTCACAGGAATGCAGAGCTGAGAGAAGCCACCACAGAAACCCCACCCCGGCAGGATGAAAACCCAAGTATCCTTCATGCCACCCCCCTCACCGACCTTGCGGTTGTGGCAGAACTCATAGCCCTCTTGCTTGCACTCATGGGAGCGTATGATGAACTGCAAGTTGTACTTCTCCAGGATCTTCCCTGTCACGTCAGGCCCGAAGTAGCAGCCACCACCTCGCACAGTATTTACTATGCAGCCCTCCTGTGGCATGGGATCACTCCAGAGAATGTCTAAAATCTGGAAGGATGGGAAAACTTCACTGAATAAAGTGTACCCAGCAGATCTCACCCAAAGTTGCCTAAGCAAATACAGCTCTATCTCTGAATCCCTCCATGGGCTGCTGCTCTTACCATAATGCAGTGGAACAGAGATGTTTCCTGCTTCCCAGCTGAACCACCATACTGCTCTGCAGGACTTTCACAGACCTGGTCCACCACAGAGGTGACAGTATGGTTGGCCTGGAGCCACAGGCACACCAACGTGCCTGGGGGAAGAAGGGTGTCCATAAATCAGGCCTGATAGAAGCTTTCATTTTGCTGCTTCTGAGATTTCAAAGAGCCTTGTCTGTCCTCCTCCATCCCAAAACACAGGTCCCCAGGGCAAGCACACCCAGCAGATCCCAAGGCTGTGAGCAGGCTTAGTATTAAACTCCTTTGCTCTCTAGCCAGGACATTCTGCAGCCTCCAGAAATCTACGTGCTGACTCAGTAACCACTATTTGGATTAAAGTTTAATCTCTTTAACCCTGACCTCAATATGCAGCTTTATGCTGATAAGGTGTAGGTACAAAACAGCACAAACCCCACCAGCCTTCCTGCTGGCACTTCAGCACCGAGTTGCTCCTTAACTCCACTGTACGAAGCAGCAAAATTATCTCTGCGGAGAGGTCTGTGCACTGGCCCCCGTATTTTGTCCTGAGGTTCCTCACGCCAGAGAACAAACCTGCAGGGGGTACCCACAGCCATCGAGCTCCGGGCCACGCTTAGACTACTCACCTGCTTCCACTCCTCCTGGCAAGTCCAGCACGGCCCATCCAAGTCCGTCAAGGAGACCATACTGGAATAGGTGGGCTCCTCCTCCTCCGACTCGCTGATGTCCACCAGCCGGCGGCACCACTCAATTTGCTCCTGCACCGTCTGCCGGACCCACTTGGAGAACTCCAGCCTGTTGGCTGTGCTGGGAGCCTGGGACAGCCGGGGCTGAGGAGGTAAACTGGGGGCTGCCTCGTTCCCTGCTGGGTCAGCCTCTGCTTTGCTCTCCCCGTTTATTTCCTGTATTTCCACATTTCTGTTTGACTCCTTCCTTTTCTTCCCTCTTAATACAGAAATAAACTGAAAGAGGAAGGAGAGAAAAGAGAGCTGGTCACACCACTAGGAAATCTATGTCTCCAGCTCTAATATCTTCAGCTGGCAGACTGACAAGTGACCCAGTAAGCCTAAATTCCCTTTGCTGCCATCAAATGCTGATTAATTGTGGGAGATGACTAGTGCCATCCTCTCAGATGTGCCATTCTTGGTTTACAGCTGGGGCCCCACATCCATCCTGACTCCAAATCTCTCCATTGACTTTATGCTGTTCAGACATTTCACAAAAGGTAGAGTACATGGATTTAAGGTGCAGTGGAAACTAGATGGCAGAATGAGGGAAGGACTCATGACTTGTTACATTTGGAAAGGGAAGTAGTACTTCTCAGCTAGAAGGTGAGGTAGAGACAAGTTACGACTTACCAGAATCCTTCTGGAAATCTAGCAGAATAAACAGGCTAGGGAGGTGTGGGACAAAGTCTCATCATCTCCGGTTTTACAGTCAGCACCAGCACATCTATTTACCCATGCCATTACCCACCACTTCCCTGGCTCCGATCCTTACATCTCCCAGAAGCCAAGAATGCTTCTTCCCTTCACACCTGCTGCACTCACACTGTTAAACCAAAGCAATCCACTCCACACCTGTACCTAAATGCAGTTTGTCTAGGAAGACCATCCTTTAGACTTGTCAACAGCCAAGGTGACGTGTAGAAATAAGCTCCCTCCTTGCCGCAAATCAGCAATACTGTTGTCCCTTGCGATATCTAGGAAATAAAACCTACTTTGTTCCTTTGAATCTTCTCAAGCATGTCCAGGTCAGTGGTGTCAGAGATGCCCCCGTGTATAATGAGGACTTTCTGATCAATCAGGGTAGCCAGGGGAAGCCAGCAGAAGACATTCTGAACCATCTTCAAGATTTTCTTCCCATGCACCTAGGAGGACAGGTCAGAAAGGAAAAGGTGAAGCATCGAGCCTTCGAAGTCCACATCTCATGTGTGAAGGAGACACAAACGTACGCCTACCTTGTATTTCTGCATTACTTCCTTGGCAAAACCATAGCTAAAAGAACAGGAGAAAGGAAGGTCAGTGGGATTTCCCAGTGACACCCTTGACGTCGTCATCAGCCCCACAGAGAACCCTACCGTAAGTTGACCATGTGGTCCTCATGGTTCCCGCGGTTGAGATGAACCTCCTTTGGATAGATCAAGAGGAAGGTAAAGAGGACGATGAGGATCTCAAGGGACTGTTTGCCTCTGTCTACGAAGTCCCCGTTGAACACGTAGGACTTGGAAGGAGAAGGAAGGCCATTCTGTAAAAGCAAGAAACAGGCAGGTGTTGCAAGAGGCCTCCCCATGGTCTCCACATAGCTCCCCCACCCCAGCTGCACATTCTCTCTCTCCTGTCCCAGGGTACTTCATACAATAGATCCTGACTCCTGTATTTATCCTGTCGGCTCCCCATGGCAAGTGCACTGAAAAGTGAAGACTGGCAGTCAGGAAGGGTCACCATTGGTGGTATCAGCACTTAAACAACATCCGCTGGCACTCCCAAATGTACGTGTGTAGCAGATTTCAAAGTCAGCTGGGGAATAACTGCTGCTGCTTTGTGAAGCCACTTAAAACCAATTAAATTGACTTGGAGAATCGCATGCAAAGGGCCTGATTTTGTAAACGCTTCTCAGCGTAACCCATGTGATATGTCTCACGGTGCCTGGCGAGCCTCCCTCTCCAGATACGGTGCCTACCTTATAAAAGATGAGGAACAAGTCATCCAGCTGGCCATGCAAGTCTCCTAACAGACACAGAAAGACAAGTCACAGTATGTTTACCTTTTAACTTAAAAAGATGCCAATAAATAACTTCCTATGAAGTACCTCCTCCACAAATTAATGACCCCTGAAATATTCTGGGAAGTTTAAGGTACGAGTTTCCTTACACTAAGGCAATGCACCTGAAGGAAAAGGACCTGAAATAAAAGCTTAAGCTGAAGCCTGAGCACAGGCTAAAAACTACACCAGTTCACGAAGCTTTGATCATTTGTCTCTTACGATGACACCCCTGGCACGAGAAAGTGTTTGATCATTACATGGGAATAATAATCAAACTAAGTTCTCATTTAACATGGTATTGGAGGGAGGGGATAGTTTTCCAGAAGCTGAGTGCAGGCAAAGGTGTGTGCTAAGTACATGTTTTTCAGAAATATCTCAAAGTTTAAACATTAGTATAATGGTGAAAAGCTTTTTGTTGTTCAAACGTACTCAATAGGACACAAAGATGTGTTCGCATTCTGGACCTGAACACGTATGCTGCTGCTAATGAAGACGCAGCCAAAACAGCTCCGGGACTTTTTTGGTTGAAGAATCCCAGGTCACAGAACAGGGCAAAAAATGACTGAGTTTTGAGGCCAGTCCTCGACTGGGTGCAGTTTCTGGGGTTTAGTAAAAGGACTCCCAAGTTTGGGTGACAGAACAAAGACAAATTTGAATCCATTTGAAAAAAATCTTTAGATCTTTGCTGTAACTTATAACAATTTTGAGAGCGACAAGCCATTATCACCCTTCATCTCCCCTTAGACACATGTATATCCTTATCTTTTCTATTCATGCCTCCTCCTCTCCCTGCATTGTTACAATCACCATGACAGCACCGCTGCTACAGCAGGCAATGCCAAGCTGAACGCTACTATCTAGGGAGAGTGTTTGTCCATGATGTGTCCCAGAATCTCTCACGGAAGCAAAACACAACTTCAGATAGACAAACCACCTTCCCCCAACACTGCCATCCTGTTCCAGACAAAGCAGAAACAGGGCCATGATGCAGACATGCTTCCTCTGGTCTCCAGGCCAGTCTTCACAGCAGCTCACATACAGCATCACAGGGTAAACCCCCATATTTTAGACACTCCCAGCTGCCTCTCAGTATAATACACATTTAATTTAAAATAATTTTACAAGGGCCTGTAGTGACAGGACAAGGGGTAATGGGTTTAAATTGAAAGTGGGGAGGTTTGGATTGGATATCAGGAAAAAGTTCTTCCCGGAGAGGGTGGGGAGGCACTGGAACAGGTTGCCCAGAGAAGCTGTAGATGCCCCATCCCTGGAAGTGTCCAAGGCCAGGCTGGATGAGGCTTTGAGCAACCTGGTCTAGTGAAGGGTGTCCCTGCCCATGGCAGGGGGGGTTGGAACTGGATGGTCTTTGAGGTCCCTTCCAAACTAAACAATTCTATGATTTTGCTTGCAGACTGCATTTGTGTTCCACAAGCACAGAGGAGGGCATACATGCTCGTGCTACCATTCTAGATCTTCCCACCCCTTCCACGTGAGCGTTCTTCCCTACAGACTGCGCAGTGCCCTCCACCCAGACCTACCGCACACGGTGACCTCCTCGCTGTAGCACGTGGAGACGTGACTGATGTTTGGCAACTGCTTGAGGTGCTTCCTGGTCTCATGCAGAAGGTTTAAGACATAGCGAGCGTGGAGCTGCTACTAGGAGAAAGCAAAGGGATTAAAGCAGGGAATCAGTGACCTCTGAGCAGCAGCACAGCTCTGCAAAGGCCCAAAGGACCCACAACGAGAGCCTGGATGGCAGAAACTCACTGGGACACCACTCAGTGCTGACCTACAGGCTAACAGACAATGAGGCAAATACTGGGAAACAGCAGGATGGAAGAGACTCGCCTAAAGCCGCCCAGCCTTGGCACTGGCAGGGCTGGCAAGAGAACCCAAAAGCCCTAGCACCCTGTGGTCAAGGGCCATCTGCTATGCCACACCACCGACTAGAGAGGAAATTTGAGCCCAGGATCACAGGTAAGCAGCTGGTCCTCTAGATCTTTTGTAGCCTTCTCCACATTAAGCCAGGCCCTGAGCTGCAATGTGTCCTGCAGAAGTGTGTTCATTCAAAGCCAGGGTGTAGACGTTTTATATTAACCAAGATGCCAGAGACCTTTGTTACAGAAGTCGTTTTTGGAAAAGGGATGGTTTGTCCTGTTTTGCAGTTCAGCACCTTGACTGAGGGATGGCAGCACAGCACTGCAGTTGTACAAGAACTTAGTGCTGCTGAATCGGTACTGGGCTTGCTCACCAAAAAACTCCCATTTTACATTCTAAATATGAGTCAATGTTGCATGGCACAAACCATAATTTTAACTGGCTGTTTCCATGTGTGCCATCCTACCCTTTTTTTACGAGTTGAGGAATTGCAACAGAAAGCAGCAGAATGTTTCAGCATAGACTGTTGTGGGCTTTTTTCCTTTCAAAATGAAATTCGGGTTAATATTGGCACACACTCACAGAAAGTTTTGCGTTTTGTCAGAACTGCATTTTCAGAAAGGAAAAAAATGTTCTTATGGCAGAGGGAATTATCTACCAGATCGTTTCCATCCCCTTTACTTAACAGCCTGCCAGCTCGTTATACTCCAGTCAGCTTAGCTTGTTAGGAAGTCTACAACCAAAGCATCTGTCCTACACCCCTGTACAGAGAAGGGGAAAGTGTGGTTCCTTTTGGGATCCTTACTTGTTTCTGCTTGAAAGCTTCCAGCAAGGCAGTTGCATGGTCAGGAAGGAGTGGGAAAGAGAGACGTGGTCCTGTGTAGGAGTCCGGCACCTCCATGGATTCATAGTCACAGTATTTTTCCAGCTCTGCCTCTTTGAAGCTTTCCCCGCTTATGAACATGCGGCTAATAAAATCCCCTGGATAGTAGATTGATCAGGTTAATTGTTGGGTTTTTTTTTTAAAAAGAGAGACAAGAAAAAGTGAAGTTGGCTCAACACACCACTGTAGTGATTCGCTGAAGAAAAGCTGGTTAGGCTAGAGCTCACAGGCAGCAGCAGAGGCTAGCCCCTAGTTTGACACCGCTACAGAATTTGCAGTGGGGAGAAGGCTGCAGGGACAAGTTACGGGGTGCTGTGTGTCAGGCAGTGCTGGCAGCTACGCTAGGTTCTGCAAAACTCCCTTAGAGCCAAAAGGACATTGCTTGCCATGGCTAATGGAAATCTTCAGTGACATGCAAAAGCAAAATGTATCATAAGGAACTTATTATAACTCTCCCGTGCCCCACTGTGTTTTGTAAGTTTCACTACATTCTCAGTGTTGCACAAATTTTTGTATAAATATGCTTTTTTTTTTTTTAATTGCTATAACATCTCAGAGCCCAACTCCAGGAACAGGACATTATTTTCTTAGTTTATACACACACTGGAAAGAGGTCTTCCTCAACAGAGCTTTGCTGTAGGGTATGTGAGGTGGTTGTGAGAAAAAAGGGTGGCAGTGTGAAAGGAAGGAGCAAGCACTTCAGCAGGTTATGATCAGCAAAATAAACAGTTCATTTTGATGTGCTACCATCAGATTTCTAATACTGCTCTTAGAAAACATACTGAGCCTTTATTCCCCCTTCCCAGCTCCTAAGGAGTAGAAATTGCTCCACGTCCCTCGCACAGCTCTGACAGTCTCCAGACAATTCACTCCCTATCCAAACTCCTGATGCCAACACCCTTTAGACTCTCTCGGCCCCCTTTGCCATCCTAAGGGCCAGCACTGAGAAACAGGTCAATACAGGGTGCAATCTGCTGAGCTGCTGGTGCCACATCTACAAAAGGCACATAGAAACTTACTCTCTTTACTGCTGCTTGGCGTGAAGTGGTCCATGAGGTAACTGAAGAAGTTGTGAAGCTGTGAGAAGAGAGAGACAGCCTGTTGTCATCCACCCTGGAATGAAATTCTGCCAAGTGGCAACTTAGTATGATTGTCTTTCCAGTTACCTATGCCCTTAGCATGTTGTCTGGCACGTACAACAAATCATACTTTACCAGTTCTAGTTTTGAGTATCTCGTGATGAAGTCAAAAAGCAGCTTTGCCTTCAGCCATATAGGCAAGTGTACATGTAAGCCTCCCTCTCCTCACCTGACAGCAAGGCAACCGTATAAGAGAATACTAATCAAAGTTAAAATACAACAAACCAACTAGGCTTGCCTGTTTTGTTCAGACCCTGGAAGCATCTTACAATATTAATGTCCTTATGGCTTTCTTTCAAGGCTCATTACTTAGGGTTTCATCAGACATAAGCAGGCAGGAAAGGAATAGGCAAGAAAAGGTCAGGAAGCCCAGCCCTTGGCCCACTGAAGCACTTAGAGGGTTACCAGCCAGTAGCCAGCAATGAGTGAGTCTGTGGCACAGAAATCACCCTCATGTTTGAGAATTCAGAGAAGTGACCCTGCCTGTCAGCATGGCAAAGAAGAGCAGGCTAGGAATGCTTTCCCAGGAGGAAGAGAGAGTGGGCTCCAAAAAGAGGCAGAGGACTGCTCATCAAATGGACAAACAAACAAAACAAAAAAGAAAAGAAAAGCACAAAGCCACAAATGACAACCCTCGCTGTATTTGAAACAAAGCTATGAAATTCTTGTCCCACTGAGATTATTCAGCCTCCCTGATGCACGATGCTCTCTCCTCCCTAGATGGCTGCACGCACTCTTAACTACTCTCAGTCCCTGCAGGCCTCCAGACAGAGGCTTATTTCTCTCTGTCTTGTGCACCCACGCAGGAAGAAATTGCCTGCTGCTCCCTTAAATAGTCTGCCATTGGCTAGCTTTAGCACAGAGGGATTGCATCCAGGCACAAAGCTGGGAATTAAAACTTTGGCCAGTACCAGCATCACAGAGGCATTTCCTTGGCACCTTACCTTGATCTGATCCTGCTCACAAGCATATTCAATGGATTGAAAGATTCTCCAGGTGCAACGTCGGCGCATTTCCAGCCGAGCCATGTAGCGCCGATACCACCGTTGGATCAAGACGGCTGCCTTGAAAGCTAGGAGACAAAACCAGAACCAACCTGCTGAGCTGCGCTGGCTGCAGCTGAGGTACCCTGCTCCTGCTTCTTTCCCGACCCTGAAAATCATAGAGGGACCTTTCTTTTTCAGGAGCAAGTTTTGAGGAAAGGTGTTCTGATGCCTAATATTAAGGATAACAAAACCCCCACTTCTTTTCACCATATTGCAAGAGGTTGATCTGACCCTGCCTGACCAGGGACCTGACAAACTTCTGACCATTGCTGCTGGCTCCTCAGCACCAGCACTAACAACTTATTATGGCCTAAATGTCCGAACTTGTTCTTTGCTATTAATAGGCCATTTCCTCCCTTTCTATCCACCTTGATGTTTTCGTGTCCATCCTACAGTTGAGGTACTGGGGCTTCAGGAAATAGAGATTTGACAGGGACCACGCAAAGAGTTGGGGGAAAACAAGACACCAAGTCCCTTTCCAGAGTCTTAAAAACATGGGCTTTGTCTGCCTTCTAGTGGAGGGTGCTCCTGCCCGTGGCAGGGGGGTTGGAAATAGATGGTCTTTAAGGTCCCTTCCAACCCAAACCATTCTGTGATTCTATGATTCCTTCCTTTAGGCCAAATAAACACCTAAGCTTATGCAGTCCTGGACAAACTTCTGTTCTATCCCAGCATAAATTTTAACATACCATTTTCTTGGAATAAACTAAAGACAAAATTAGCACCCACAGTGAAAAGGGGGAGATAGATCTTTGGCTGCTCAATGACACAGAAGGAATGAAATGCCAGGAATTTCCAGGTGCCTAGTAATGGGTCAGTCCATAGCCAGCACCAGGCTCTTCCCTCCAAATGATGGCCATTTACCCTGGTCTTTAAAACATAACCATTCCCCCATTCCTGCGCTTTTCATTAAAAGATTTTTTCAGATGCAGTGCGTGCATATTGAAGGTAAAGTACATTGGCGCAGTTTCCCGTTTCAAGTTCCTTTTCCAAGCTCTGCCACAGGACTTCATGTACCTCTAGAAACAATTCCATCCTGCGTAGCTGGCCTTGACCACATTTGGTCAGCCTGGTTACTTCACAGCACCTTGCCAACTAGCTCTGCTACGCGGCATCCTCTCCTGATTATGCTGCGTCCCTTCCTGTTCATTTCTGGAGCACTACCCTAGAGCCCTGTGTTTAAATCATTTTCTAACAACGCTTCTCTGTGTCATCTTTAGCAGAGGGAGGGAGGGATGACTGCTTTATCTAGGCTGGCCCCAAAACCAGATGGAGACGACAGAGTTACGGAGTTAGCTCTGCTGCAGCAGCTCACATTCCCTTGGCATCTGATTTGGGAGGGAGCACTGCCACATTCATCAAAGCAGGGAGAGGGATGGGGCGTGGGGGGTGGAAAAGCTTTATAAAAAGAAGGCAGTGCTCTACCCCTACCCCAAAGGCTGCTAAGTGCTGGCAGGAGACAAAGAGATCACGTTAATTCAATTAGCTTGCATTAATTGTATAACATAAACCACCCCTCATGTACCTTCAGCAGCAAACGTTGACCTTTACCTAAATAACATATCCTGAGGGCTTCTCTATTGAGAATAATAATAATCCTTCTAAATGATGTTACCGTTACAGCTCTTGGAGCCACAGAGTGCAAAAAGGGAAGAGCTATTGCTGCTGTGCAGCTGGGAAACCAAGTCGTGGTGAAGTCATGGTCAAGAAGGTAAGACTTTGCTAGCCTTAATTCAAGAATAACTCACGTACTCTTTGCTGGAGCCTTGTATCTTGTTGAGAAAATGCCTACTGATCTGCTGGGCTGTGCAATAAAAAAAAAGGCCGATTCTTTTTTGCTGCAGTTTGGTGCTTTTGATGCTACCTCTTCAAGCCTCCTTTGTGACAGAGCCAACGCTAGCTGTCTTGCTCCCTGTACAGTGTGATTTGACTGGCCTGTGACTGGAATCACAGTCACAATCACACTAAAATAAACAGCTTCTAAACATTCTGCATTCCCCTAATAGTGGATAAATATCCGATTACTGCAGTAAGAGTCAGATGTATTTCAACTGAATCCCCAGCAGAAATTCATAGTTATGACTCCATATATACCGATGAAAGCGAGATCCTTTGAAACATTAAAAATAAAATCTATGAAAGACTCGTTATCAAGCGCACAGTGAGCATATATACTGCCATCCCCAGCATTTTAAGCTCCTGATGGGCAAGACATTGGTTTTTTACACTACTGTGACAGGGACTGACTCTGGAACTGAAAAAGCCAGGTATTCTAATTTACTAGCTTACCTGGTTGAGTTTCATCTGGCAGTGTTTGTACTAGTTTAGAAAAAAATAATAGAGAAGAAAGAGAGAGATTTATCCACAGTTGATGAGGATCCAAGCAGTAAACTGAACCATAGATCATCATATAAGCTGCTGAAAGCATGCCGAAGTGGCAGCACTCAAACTAAAATATGCCTGCCTGTGCTAGCAGCGTAGTTCACACGTCGGCTTACAGGAGGGAGCCTGCACCCTCTCTTGGGTTCCCCATCCCCTTTTTCACTCAAGTGCAGGACCAGTTTAACAGAACTGCTGGCTACACCTTCCATCGGGAGCAGCCTCTGGGCCTTGTACAAGGGGGACAGGAAGACACCTGGCGTGTTATACTTGAAAGGAAAGTCCTGAAAAGGATTTTTAGAGCTAGATACAGGAAATGAAGAGTGGTTTTACGGCCATGGGAAACTGATGATGAGGTATCAGATCTAATGCAGAGTTTCAAATAAATACCTAGTTTCATGTTACACTTTGTTATAGACAAGCCTTTTTCATAAAATAGCCCTGAACATCTTAGGAATGACCGTGGTTCTCTAGTGCAATAGACAAGTCTCACTTAAATAAAAGGTGGACTTTTTCAACAGAGAAAAAATACAAACCAGAAAGACTGAGTCACAACGTCTTCCTTTCTAAATGCAGTCTTTCTTTTCAAAAGTACTTGCAAAGAGTTCGCACTGTACTGCTGCTCTGCTAACGCTGATGACTGAATGATTCAAAGAACAAAGTTATCTGTTTCCTCTTTCACACTCCCTTGTGTGTAAACTCCCTTTGTTCCAAGGCAGACCTGAGCACACACCCAGAAAATCGATCCCAAATAAATCATTACAGCTTCAAGCGCCATAAACAAGGCTAGGTAATTAGCAGAGATGGAGAGCGTTGCACTGATGTTATCAGAAAAAAATACACTTTTTGCTTTTCAGCTTTTCTTAACCGTGCCATCTTACCTTCTTTAGAACCAGATGTGTTTTGGCTTTGTAATGCTTCTGCTTTATCAGTCCTGTGCCACTAACAGAGTCTTTTAAAAACAGCCCACCAGAAGCAGCAGGGTGATACCACCGTTCTGTCAGCACGTGGCAACACACACATTAGCCAGCAATTGATTAATCCGTCGGATGTTAGTTCTAACAGAATTGCTTTTTGCTGCTTCATTTCTGGTCAGGTTTTGATTGATTTTAATCCAATCTTGCCCTAAATAGCTGCTATTTCCTCAAGCCTGTTGTCCTGCCTGACAGCTTGAGGCTCCTTGCTCCAGGATACTGAAAGACAGAACCTCACCTCAATACTATCAGGAGAACCAGGTATCTCAGAAAAGGAACACATCCACTGCAACCTCCCAACTGCATGTGCAGGAGCAGACAGGAAAAGATTGCTTTTCAAAGAATCACTCACCATTTTCAGATTTCTGCAGCGAGTACTTGTAGTTGACATTTACAGAACTACCAGATCCCATGTTCTCCAACCAACGCAGACTGGCCCGGTATCACCAAAACCACGAAAGAGATGCAGGAAAGACCATTCGGTCAGAACCAAAATAGCTGCAACATGTCCCACAGTGCTGAGAATCTATAATAAATATATTAACACTTATTAACATCAACAAGCAGGTGGACAGTCTTGTGCCCACATACATCTTCCACTAGCAGATTTTTCCAGCTACTTTGTAGTCTTCCACACACTCTGAGATGAGGATTTCTTACTGTTTCAAATTTCAAGTCAGCTGTAGGAATCATTTCAGCACCTTTCCTAATTGTACAAAAATAGCAGAGATTGCCTATGTCAGTATAGTAATTGTGTGGTAGATGTCTAAATCAGGCATTCATGTACTCTCACAATGCTTCACAGGCCTAATTTTAGGCTCCTAAACTCTTAGCAATATGGCAGTCTTTGACCTGGACCTTCGTTTCAGATGCTACAATAAAATAAATCTTGATTGAGCTCTGAGAACAGACTACATCTCTGAATCCTGATGCTGCCTCCCCCCTTCCTCATGCACAGCTGAAGGCACTAAAATACTACACGTGACTGCATGTGGGAGGCATCTGTACACTGTATAGAAGAAAGAAAAAGGTTTTCAATACAGATCAGGAACCACAAAAGTCATTAAGGTGATTCAATAACAATCACTGTCTGCAGACAGATATTCATGCATATAGCCATGTGTGAATGGTAACTCATTATGAGAGATGAGCATACAGATGGTATTTAACCTATTTGCAGTACCACAGCTAGAGGGGAGATAAGTCTAAAATAACAATTAGCTATCATAAGAAAATAATCAGCTTTGTTAAACACTGCTTTTCTTCACCTCGTGAGTGTGGGAGCATATTAAACCATTGCTTGCTCAGGTCCTGGCTGGTATGAAAGGAAGGACAGCCAGGCTTTTGTAACCTCACTGCTGCAGAAAGCCCTGCTCAGAGCAAACGGATCCTATTTCAAGATTAGGTCAAATTCTGCAAATTCTCACGACAACCAGGATGTCATTCAGAGTCAGACATGTTTTCTCTGGAAAGAAAAAAACCCAATCGTGTACTACTGCCGAAGCGGCCCCAGGCTGTCGCATAGGAATTACACAGATTTTTATACTAATCCAGAACCTGGGGAGGAGAAAACTGAGAAAGGGAGGGAAGGAAATAAACACCTGTAAAAATGTTAAGTCTGATGCTAGCAGGCTTGAGCAGATCACAGCTCAAAGGGTTTTGCAGGGACAGGACAGCATGACTACCCAGGCACTTCTCCCCAGCAGAGGAAAGAGTCCTTCCCCCTTTCTCACTTCCCGCAGTCCTTTTGCCTCCTTCAACCTCTCTCCACCTAACCCACGTCCTTCCTCTCAAAATAGCTGCAGATCTGCACGAACACTAGTTGAAGGAGCACGCCCGGTGTTGTATAAGGTGCATGTGTGCAGTGTTTGCTCAGGAAGATGAGGCGTGCTAAGCAACATTTCAGCATGGAAAGTAATGCCGAAATTCTCTGCCTTGCCCAGGATACTGAATTGCACAACGGCATCTTCACAATAACTGGGTGATGCAGCAAGAGAATATGTAGCAATGCTCTGAAGAAAATACCAATCGCTCCAGTTTTATTCTAAGAACATTATTTCATATCAGTGTAAAAAATGGCCTGAAATCACTGCTGAATTATGCTTACTTATATCTGGTGCTTTATAGCCTTTGTGCTAAAATAATGCAGGTACTCTGACAACTTTTCAGATTATTAACTCCTCAAACAGACAATTGCACACAGAAATCAGAATTCCTAGCAGTTAATGCTCTTATTTGTAACCTCCTGTACAAGGAAAACCAAATTTACAAGGTCAGAATTTCTGAGTGTAGACTTGTAACTCCCATCTGGCTACCCAAACAAAACTTTCTTTTCCTAGTCAGAGATGTAAAGACCTCAGCAAGTATCCAGAGAAACAATGATGCAAAGGATCCGCGCTGTATCGGGAGCTGGCTTTAGAAACAGTTGTCCCCAAGCACCTCCTCTTACTGTGTTCTGGTATAAGCTGGCAGGGCAGTCTGCAACAGCGTGACCCAGGTTCCTCTCAGATGAAATGGCACCAGAAGACACACTCCAGCCACTACTGGGAGTTCAGTCCACAGGACGGGATTTAAGTCAGTCCCAAGAAATCACCCAAAACAGGGTTAATGTAGACAACGGTTCCTCCATGCTGAAGGTCAACACAGCCTGCATGCCCTGATGTGTTTCCAGCACTGCTTAGGGACCTGACAGTCCCAGCTTCAAAGGAAGATGGATGCTTCAGCTTTTTGGAAGAGATGAGTGCCTTTAAAGACACCCTTAAAAATGCAAACACGAGGAAAAAAAATAACCTTTTTCAGAAGCTAGAACACTTCCAGATCACCTTTGAAAACAGAGAACAAAGAGGAAGCAAGTGCTAAGTATAGGGTTAGGTACGTCACTTGCTTAGGATGCGTTCAGGTGTACTGCCTATCTGTGTGATAAAGCGTGACCTTGGATTTGAGATCACCCTTGGAGACACAGAATAAACAACTTCTCCTCATTTCCCTCCTTCCCTGCAAAACAAGCAAGCGTTTGTTCTTTGGACAGCCCTACTTTAAATACAAATTTTGGCTGTTCATACCAAGGGATGCTCTAGTACTGAGTGCCCGAGCAGCACCTGCAGAGAGCAAGCAAGGGCAACAGCACCTCCATAATTATCTTAGTGTGAATGGTCTTGCCAACAGGTCCCTCCCAAGCAATTCCTGGAGCAGCAAACTTTTTCACTTCATTACCCTCAGATTTTTCCAAAGGCCACAGCCTGAGCAAAGGAGTGCACAGCAGGAAACCAGAGACTAATGGAATCAAACCTGTTTCAAGGGTGGGAGGAGCGAGGAAGAAATAGAGCCAGTCCAACTGCTCAGCACCTCTGATCCTTCCTCATCCACCCAACAGTGATGTGCTTCCCTCCCCTCCCTAAAAACCCGTGCCCAAGGAAGAGGGGGGGAACAGGAGCCCATAAAGACACAGCCTGGAAGACTTGAAGAGGGGCATCACCTCAAATACAGGCTGTGTTAAACAACCAGGGGCAACAAAATGATGCACCTAGGAAACAGCGGCGACCAACTGCTCCTTTCACTTCTTGCTCTTGGCCACCGTTCCCCTCCTGCAGACATGTTTATACGCTCTCTGGTGCAGCTAGAAGGCCCCCAAAACAGGCTTTCCTCACACCTTATGAGAAGCTGCAATACATTCATACAAGGCTCTCCCCTGGTACAGAGCATCTGCTAGGGAACATGCCAAGTAAGGCAAGGTGATAAACCCTACTGCCTGCACTTACAGCAGGGTAGAACTAAACCAAAACCAGCATGGGCTCGCGCTCCACGCACGGCTCCCACGGACGACTAACACAACATCCAAGTTCAGTGCCTCAGTAGAAGACCACAGACACACGGAAAAAATGCCCGTTCCCTGTTCACTGGAGTTAGTGTCCTAAAGGCAGGAGAAATGTGCGACAGCCACACTCCACACGAACATCACACGCCAACGGGTAAGGTACTCATCTTTGCACTGCTCAGAACACAAGCTGCTGCTTTGTTTAATACTACCCTACAATGCCACATAAAACTCATTAAAGGAAAACTTGCACAGATCCATTTGTGTCAACCACCCCAAAAGAACAACAAAAGCCTAGGTAAATTTCCTGCCTTACAGTAAATACTGATTCCTTCGAAACCAAAGCAAGCAACAGCATTTTGAATCTAATTCTACACACTCTGTCACATCACTGAGCTTGACCGCATTACAGATCTGGGCAGAATATGGTGCTCCACAAGGCTCCTAGGGAAGACGACACACTTCACATGCCACGTGCACAACCGAATTCTCAGCAACTTGACAATTTTGTAGACATCTGAACAACTGAGGGAAGAGACAAGCAGAATATGGAAGGCAATGAGAGGATGCAACAGACTCACTGGAAGTTCACTAAGAAAAAATTGAAGAAAAAAAGATGTTGGAAGGAAGCAGAAATTTTAAGTTCTGCTAAATCAGCAACAGGTTGTGTAAGAGCTACAGATGAATTACATAAAAAAATTAATCAGATACTTCTCCCAAGCATAAAAATGCCAGGGAAAGTGATGATCCTGCCTTGCCCTCCTAGAGTAAATACCTATTTATGTCCCACGTGCACAGCCGACTCAGTGTGTCTTGTAGCTGGAAAAGAGATAGTGAAGCTGCTTGTATTTCACACATGCGCCCAGCTCTGCACCCACACGCTTCCTGCAGTGCCCAAAGGAGAATTTCAGGCAGAAGACTCCCAACTGCAGTTGTATACTCCTTGACATACAAAAAGGTTATTTCACCTCAAACTCTGGGTGACGAGTAACTACTTCTGAACACAAAACATTTTTTTACACAGAAATACAGAAAAATGCAACTTACCTGGCCACCAATTTCTAATTTACGGATTTATTAAGAAGCTCTCCACTTCTTTTTTTTTTCTATTCAGTACCCAAAGCGATTGATAATCTCTGATTTGCTTGATTACAGATTCAGAAACTTCTCCTCAGCATGGAAATTATCAAGTAAGCGGTTCCCTTGGGCAGGCCGCAGAAAGTGCCATGGCTTTCAGCACCTGCAGCATAGAACGCGTGCGCTGCTCTGCCACAAGCGCTGGCTCTTTGATTTATTTACTGCACAGTTGTTTTGAGCAGCCTTAAGAATCCTCTCCCATGTGATGCTTAAGAAAGGCTACAGATCTGACATGGATTAGGGTTACTGAAGGGGATTATGAAAGAGAATGCAGCATGTTGGCCTCTCGCATCTTAAGAGTCAGCTCTTACACACTTTCAAGTTGCCTTCTGCTAATTGCAGACTTCTGGAGGAAAAAGAATTAAAGGTTTCACCCATTCCCTATGTTGGGCTGAAAAATCTTCAGGGCTCAGTAGCTAGGGAATCTGTACTGCAGAAATGGAAGGAGGGAAGAAGCAAGGA